TGTAGAGATGAGGTCTCGCCAAGTTGCCCAGGCGGGTCTCGAACCACTGGGCTCAGGCAATTCACTCACCTTGGCCTCCCAAAGCACGGGATTACATGCTGAGCCACCGAGCCCGGCCCCATTTTAATGTTTACTGTGGCATGTGAAGATTTAGTTTTTATTTAATATAAAGTTTTTATATAAACAGCTTCTAGGATTTACCACATTCCCTTTGACTATCATTTGTGAATGTATGTAAATACTTTTTCTCCTTTTATTTGTTGATATAAAATTACAGAGACATTTCCTAAAGTTGAATTATTTTTATTTTACTCATTCTCATTGTCATTACTTTTCTATTCTTTCTTGTTTTTCAGTAACCTCTAACTGCAAGTTTTATTTCCTCTTTGACCCAAGAGAATATGTTTTGTTTTTGTTTTCTAAAATCTCTAAGTAACATATTTTCTTTAACATGCAGTCTGTTTTGCTTCTGATTATAACTTATTGAGACTTCTTTTATGGCTAAGATTGTGCTCAATATTGACATATATTTCATTTTTAAGAAAAAATATGTTCTCTGTTTTTAAAAACAAGGTTAAATAATAAATCATTCTTATTAATGTATCTAAGGCATGTATATTTTGTTTATCTTTTGCACATGTCAAGAGTCAAACAGAAGGTGAATTGTTTTCTCAATAGCCATAAAACATTGTCCCATTATTTGCTTCTTGAATTTTGATTTGACATTGATGGAAATACCCTTGCTTTTTGTTTTATTTGCGGTTGCACTATCCCTTGCCTATCTTTTTTTTTTTTTTTTGAGTTGGGGGTCTCACTCTGTCGCCCAGACTGGAGTGCAGTGGCCACTCCCTGCCACCGCAGCCTCGACCTGCTGGGAGCCTGTGATCCTGCCGCCTCAGCCTTCCAAGTAGCTGGAACTACAGGCGTGCGCTACCATACCGGCTAATTTTTTATTTATTGTAGAGATAAGGTCTTGCCAAGTTGCCCAGGTGGGTCTCAAACCCATGGGCTCAGGCAATCCACTCACCTCAGTCTCCCAAGGTGTGGGACTACAGGCTGAGGTCACTGAGCCTGGCTGCCTATCTTTGATTTCAACAAATTTTGTGTCACTTTGTCTTAGTTGCATATTTAATTGTATTCAATTTTTTTATTTCATGTCCTTCAATATCATTTTTTCATTTGCATTGCATGTTACAAATAATTTTATACCTTTTTTTGAGTTATCTTTTATAGCTCTTTTTGTTTATTTCTCTACAAAGGCAAAAACTTTATATGCTTTTTATGTTTACTTTCAGTGTTTTATAAGGTCTGATTTCACTCAATCAGTGGTTACTTTAAACTTTTCAAATTGATTTTTTAAATCTATGTTTTTGTAATTGTTACAGTTGAATTTGAAACCAAATTGCTCAACCATATTGTTTTCATTCTTGAAACAAATCATTTAATGCAATTTCTCTTTACCAGTCATCTCAACATTGTAAATTTGTTTATATAATTTGAACATTTACATTCAGATAGTTACTATTTGGAATTTTTCTCCTGCTTCATACAATATCTCTGTTTTCCTGGGGTAAGCTTTTCCTCTCTTTTCGGCCATTCTATTTTTCTAATATTGGAGTCTTTCCTCAAATGTCTATTAGTTTGTAATTATTTGTTCCTACTTAAGAGGAGAACCTGGAACTCAATCCATATGATTCACCAAATTAAAAAATAAAGAAGGAAAAATCATATGAATATTTCAGTAGATACATTTGATAGAAATCAACATCTGCTCATAATAAAATTCTAAACAAATTAGAAATGAGTAGGAATATATATAGATGTATAGTAAACATCATACTTAATGGTGTTACTAAATATTTTTTCCCTAAAGTTGGAAAAAAGGCAAGAAAACCCACTCTCACCACTTCTCTTCAACATTTATATTTAAACACCTAACTAGTGCAATAGGACAAGAAAAAAAATTGTTGGAAAAGAAGCAGTAAACAGTCTTTATTTGCTGATGACAAGATTATTTTTGATAAAATCCAAAGGAAATCTATAAATATTTTATTAGAACTAATGCATCAATTTAGCAAATCATAAATATATGATTAATATTTTTCAAACCAATTTTATTTTCATTCAATAGTGAAAAGGAATTTGAAAAACAATATAAATTGAAGTAGCGTAAAAATAACTAAGAATAGATTTAAGGAAAGATGTGTATGACTACTATATTCTTCAAATAGTGCTAGACAAAATTAAAGAAAGCTAAATAAATGGAGAAATATAAAATGTTAACAGACTGTATGCTCAATATTAGTGCCAGTTCCTTCAAATTTATCTATAGGTTCAATTCAGACCCAATCAAAATATAAAGCCTTTTTTTGTAGACATTGACAAATTGATTTGAAAAGACATGTGGAAAATCAAAGAACATAGAAAAGCCAAGACAATCTCCTAATTGACTTCATGAATCATTTAAGTTATGATATTCAAGCCAAAATGATATTGTCATAATGGTAGACAGGTCAAAAGTATCACACAGAAAGTTCAGATATAGACCTATGCTTACATTATAAACTGTTTTTTGACTATTTTCATGACCTTGGGGCAGGTAAAGTTTTCTTAGATAGTATTTTTAAGTCATCAACCATAAGAGAAAAAAATGATAGATTGATTTTCATCAAAAGTAAAAATTTCTCTCCATCAAAAGACATAGTTAAGAAAATAAAAGAAAAACTACAGACTGGGAGAAAATATTCACAATACACAAATCAGACAAAATACTTCTATCATCTATATATAGGTAATATTTATATAATCTTTCCATCAGCCTGTAATCCCAGCATCCCAGCACTTTGGGAGACTGAGATGGGAGGATTGCTTGAGCCCAGGAGTTTGAAATCACCCCAGACAACATAGTGAGACTTTGTCTCTACTGAAAAAAAAAAATGTAGCCAGGTGTGATAGTGCACTCTATAGTCTGAGCTACTCAGGAGGTTGAGGCAGAAGGATCACCTGCGCTCCGAAGGTCGAGGATGTAACGAACTGTGATGGTACCACTGCACTCTGGATGACAGAGTAAGACCCCAGATCAGAAACAAAACAAAACAAAGACTCCTGCCATCAATAAGTAAACGAAAATGCAATAATATAAGTGAGCCAAAGATTTGAACAGACATCACAAAAGAAAGCATATGAATTGCCAATACGCACATGAAATTGTGCTTGACATCATTATCATTAAGGAAATACAAATAAAACTAAAATGAAATATCACATTGCACACACTGGAATAGCTAAAATTAGAAAAACTATCTCTAACGGTATTTGAGAAACAGCTTGGCAGGTTCTGAAATAGTTAAACGTACTCCTTTGCACAACGATTCAGAAATTCCACTCCTAGGTATTTACACAAGAGAAATGAAAATATCTTGCCACAAAGACTTGTACAAGAATAGCAGCTTTATTTTTTCTAGTCTCAAACTGGATTCAATCCACATGTCTCTCAACAGGAAATTAAATGGATGATGGTGAATGTACACAATAGAATACCCCTCAACAATAAAAAGAAGGAAACTATTGTTCAAGGTAACAACACGAATGATAAGCGAAGGAAGGCAGATGCAGAAGCATATATTATTATATGTATTCTTCCATTTATGTGAAGTCCAATAGCAGGCAGTATTAACAAACAATAGAAGAAATGATATCAATGTTTGCACCTGAGAGGCTGCCTGGCTGCCTGTGGGCAGCATGCGGATTGATGGACAGGGAATGCAATGTTCTGTTCATTTTTCAAATAACACCTCAGTTTTTAGTCCCATGGTTGACTTTCAATCTCCAATGTTTCTTCGGAATTCTGCAGGGCAAACTAATTGCTTTTCCAACCTCTGGGAGTATTCTTCACCTGAATAACAACTAGTGTTTCTCTGACCACTTTTTGTCGAATAGATTTTGGTTGAAATCTCTTAGCTGCTCATTGTCCTCTGCTATTCATTGTCCTTTGTCATTCTGCATCTAATTCCTTTGTTATCATTTAGTGGAGTTTTAAATAAAACTGAAGAAAATGCTTTTCTTCAATCTACAATCTTTAACCAGAAACTTTTTCTTTTGCAGGAATTCAAAACAATAATATGGCATTATTACTTCCTGTTTTATGTTGGGTACTGGGAAGTACCAATAATTGTCTTCTGGTTTGATAAAGAATAGTTATGAATCTTTATAACATTTAGGAATACAAAGATGTTGATGAAAACATTATCAGAGCAATAAAGTAATCAATTAAAAACTAGAATTACAGACTCAGGTTTAAAATGACTTTCACAGAAAACAATTTCAGCGGCAATTTCTTAAATTCAAAAAAACTATATTTAACAATGACACAAACAAATTTATATTTGAACCAGATGTTCCAGGAGACATCACAGATATTCTCATTGAATTCTCAATTTATATTTTATCATAGTATTATCATTATTAAACCACATCGTAATATTTAAATTAATTTTATAACATAGGAAGGTATTTCTTAGCAGCTATGGATTAGGGAGTAGACATCTTACTTTTATCTTTCTGAGATTTATTTTCTCTTAGTTGTTAATTAAGATGCATTTTTGAGATTAGATTTTATTTGTATTCTATAGTCTTTCATTCCTCTATCAATGACTTGCTTACTCCATCTAGATTTTGTAGGAATTTAGTTTTTTTGGTTTTTTTTTAATAAAACAATGTTCCAGATATGTTTAGGTGAAGATATCTTACAATGGCTTTGATCAGTTCAAGCTGAATTTTTTCAGTCCTGTATATTAGTCTTTCATAATCCCCACTGATTTTTTTTCTATTACATTTCTTCTTGTTGTTTCAATTCTATTTATTCTGCTCTTTACTGAACACCACCTATGTTATATATGTTGGTTCTTCATAGCTTATCCTTTATATGTAAAATCTTACAGCCTCCACAAATATCTCAGAACCTTGATATCTATTTTCACAGTGGTATCCTTTTCCCCCAGGATTCCCCCAGAAGACCAGAATGTAGATGAGATGCTTATCTATGAGACTGTATTCAGTTACTTCAGTAGACATAAGGTGGAGATTTCAAGTGCAATACAAAAGACATTTCCATTCTTTGAGCGCCTCCGTGACCATAAATTCATCACAGATAAAATGTTTGAAGTAAGTAAAGTTTACTATGTCACAACCTGGCAAAATGTCCCCAAATTAAGTTATGTTTTGATATCGTAGTCCCAAAGTTCAGGGTACCACTAGATGACCGATGGATTTCCTATGAGTGGGAGACTTTTTCAAGTATTTCTGTAAGTCTCTTGGCAAGACAAAAAGGGAAAGGAGAAGAGATCACCAGAGATATCCCTGCTTCTGAGGGAATGGTATTCCATGGCGCCCCCTGGAGTCAGAGTGAATGGAGATAGGCTGTATACTCCAAAATTGTCCTGTAGGAATTCATACAATATAACACAATTAAAATAATTTTCATGAATTATTTACTGAAACAGTAATTAGCACAGCATTTTATTTCAATAAGCATCAATTTAAAATATTTAGATATGAGAACATTAAAACCCACAGGGAATTGGTACTTTGTTAGGACAAATTTGGGAATAGATGCTTACTATGCTTTCTACAACATCTTTCAAGGTTTTTGTTTGTTTGTTTGATTGATTATTATTTTTTTCATTTCTGGAGTCTTGGAATTTGGGTAAATTTCACCAACACACTCTGTTGGAGATATAGAGCAAGTCTTCTCCACTTATGAATGTGCTTCCTCTGTGGCCAAGTTTACAGCAAGAGAACAACTTGAGCCCTTTAGACCAAATCAGTCTAGGGGAAGGGCAAGGGTAGTCCAGCCATCACAACAGCCACTCTCATCTGCTAAGTCTATTACCAAAACATCTTGACCAAGCTCTTAAAGGGCCACCCATCATTTAACTTTGAACCCACTTTTTTCTTCAAAATTGCTCCTTTCTACATCTAATGTAAATGAAGGTGAGGAGATCAGACTTACCAGTGTATGTTTTTAAGGGGAAAAGATTTATTTATTTTATTTAGTAGTTATGCCAATATATAAAAATTATAAAACTTTACATGAGAAAATTCCTATGTAGAGAAATTGGAATACATTAACCATAAAATTACTTTCTAGAGGTCTTCTCCAACTTGGAAATCTGTATTTATATTTTCTCCATTCAACATTTTTAAGGATTCTCAAGAGTCGTGTAAAAACTTGGTACCTGTACCAAGAGTGGTGTACCATGTTCTCTGTGAACTGGAGAAAGCATTCGACCCATCCATTCTGGAGTTATTGTTCGACGAGATCAGCATGAAGGAATACCCTGATTTAATTCATATCTATAAAAGCCTCAACAAAGGTAATTAGGGTTATTACCTGCTTTTTGAGTTCTGGAGTCAATTTTTTTCAATAAATGTATAGTGAGCTTCTTCCATCTGCCACACACACTGTGCTGAACAGTAGAGATATCGTGTTAACAGAACTGGTGTGTCATGAGCCTTCTTATGGTTCAATGACTATGGTACGTCAACCACCTAGAGGTCTGCTTAACTGGGCATTTAGACTCACAAGGCAAACAGAGCCCTGATGGCATCAGGCTTACTTAGAAGAATGTGGTGCAAGAACCACACAATCCCGACAGGGCAGCATCAGTTGCATCTCCTCAGTTGGAGCCCTTTCAGTTAGCTACACAATAGTCCACAAGATGACTACTATTTGCTTTGAGTGACAGCTTAGCTGTGGTGCAGAGTCTACCTGGGCTTGGCACCACATGCCTGTAAGAGTTAATATTTCTTGTAACAACTCCATACTCATAGCTATTAGGGACCCCACAAGGATAATAAGAGTTACCAGTTAAAGGAAGAACTTTTCACTCTCAGATTTAGCCAAATCCAATTTGTCCTGTTTTACATACATGTTTTCACACTTCTATTTTTGTTCCTATAGAATCTGCTCTTCCCAGGGCATGTGCCTGTTTTTCTTGTGATGTTTCTATGTCTTATTTGGAGAACTTGGTTGAGTTCAAACTATGTTGGCATAAAAAGTTTTCTAGGTAAGTGAAAAAACAGTAAAGACAATAAGAGTTACCAGTTGAAGGAAGAGCTATGCTATGGCTTCCCACCAGGTATTTATAGCTCATATATAATCCCTCCCAGTCCACCAGTCATGGATAATTTCTAACCCCAGTGTTTACCTAGTAACATAATAAAAGGACCACAATTGTTAGGTTTCCAAAGTAATGAGCAAGAATGTTAATCCTGGGTCAAATTTGCCTTCAAGAAGTAGAAATAGTTTTGTTAATCCTTTGTCCACAAGAGGTGAAATAAACATTAACCAAATTCACAAACCTGATTGCTCCACTAGGGACAATTGTTGGTGCTGTACAAAGCTAAAGGTTTGATTCTCAGCTTTTTTCTGAGAAGGCATGATTTATATATACTCTTTCACTAATACATAGTAAAGAAGATAGCCTTCAATTTGTTTTTTCACTTACCTAGAAAACTTTTTATGCCAACATAGTTTGATCTCAACCAAGTTCTCCAAATAAGACATAGAAACATCACAAGAAAAACAGGCACATGCCCTGGGGAGAGCGGATGCTATAGGAACAGAAATAGAAGTGTGAAAACATGTATGCAAAACAGGACAAATTGGATTTGGCTAAATCCGAGAGTGAAAAGCAGTGTAGGAGCTGATTCAAGAGAGATTAATTGAAGGAAGACATTGAAGGTTCTGACATTCAAAACTAAGTAATTTATAGTTTACTTGCTAGGTAGTAAAGACATACTACAGATTTATAAACAAAGGGGAAAATTTAAGCGCTTTATATGACTTATTGAATTGTGTCAATAATAACCTTATCTAATTAAGAATAAAGTAATTTCTATAGTAAATAATTCAAGTTAAAAATAAATAAAGTAAGTCTAATACATGAGTATACACATTCTGAGTCAAGCTTCTTTTTGTAACCAGGATGTTCCAGGCTGCAGGGACAAAGGGAATGGTATTACCTTTACTGCCCTCATCTTGGGACTCTGATTCTCTACATAGACTGCAGAGACTCCTTCATGGGCCCCAGTGGCTACATCTTACATGTTGTTTCTCCCTGTGCTTTGGTGACCAGTAACTACCTAGGGGTTGGCCACTGCCCTGCCCACCACAGCAGGCCACCTGCTCTGGGGAAAAGGCTGCTGCTTCTGGGTCCCTGGTATTCACACAAGCTTCTCTGGGTCCTCTATTATGTTTCTTTGAAATTGTCTCATCCTCCCTGACCCAATTAAGCCAAAGCTTTCCTGTTTTCTAGCCCCCCCTTTAAAGTTGTTGGGGATTTTTCTCTTTTACAATGGGATCTCTCTAGGACCCGAGACCTTCTCCCCAGAAAATCCCTGAGTTTCTTCTTTACAGTTTGAACAGTTCAGAAAACTCATTTCACTTCCATTATTTATTTTGTTATATGCTTTCCTTGCCATCTGAAAATAGTTTAGGTAACATGGCTCACAATGTTTTTATTACTCTATCCTTAAATCTTGAATGTCTCCTTTCTGTGAGGGAAACAAAGGATTTCTTGTTGGGATCTTCTTTTTTCTGTCCCAGGGAACAGAAGAACTTTAAGTTATATAGGACCTTCTGAACTCTGAGAGACCAAAGCACTGGAAATTCTTAGATGTGTAATTTCCAGATGTTGTCCCTGGTCCCTGCAAGAGAGCTCTAATTGCCTTCTCTCTCCTGCTCTTCAGCAATCCAAGACAAAGTTAATCCTCAAGAAAATGATGAAGAAGAAAGGGAGGCGAGGGCTGGCATCCAACTAAGCCTTGAACAAGGTAATAGCAATATGATAAAAAGTCATTTTTTATTTGCTAAGAGGACAAGGAGATAAGGGAAGTCAGGGGCCCGATGTCATGAGTGGGGTTGTCAATAAGGGAAGAAATGTGGAAGGACCATGCAGAAAGCAAGGCGGGAAATTTATATAAGCTCCTTACCAGATGTGGATTCCTGTATGAGTAGCCATGACAAGATGGCCCAGTAACAAAGATGAAGGAACTAGAGCTGAGTGTATCATTAGGCCAGATTTACAGACACTACTTGGAAGTAACTGTGGTTTAGAAAGGTTCCTGTAGGAGAGATAAGTACAAAGTTGTGAAGGACTAAGAACAATGGTCCATCATCAGCAACCAAGAGACTACTGATGAAAGAAAAAAATCCTGTTTATCTGTATCCTTGCACTCACAACACTCTGACACCAAATATGCATTTGGGGCTGGGTGTTCTCTCCACACCAACTAGTTCTCCAGTTCTCTGTAGATGCCAACTGAGTGTCCATAATTTAATTCAGTTCTGGCACCAACTACCTGGAGTTAGTACTGATTTCACATATTGAGGGTTCAATCTCATAGGACTGCCCTCCACTTTGTATGCCTGTCACAGGTCCTAGATTGTAATCAACCTGTGCTTCTGGGTATAAATTGGTCATTCTCGTGACCCTCTCTTTCGTTTTGATACTTGGCTAGTAGGGTTCACAGAACTCAGGGAAACATTTACTTACATTTACCAATTTATTACAAAGGATGCAACTCAAGAAAAGCCAAATAGAAGAGATGCGTAGAACAAAGTATGAAGAAGAGACACAGAGCTCTTATGCCCTCTCTGAGAAAACCACCCTCCCAGCACTTCTATAACCCAGATGGTTTTTCAGCCCAGACATATAAGGTTTTTTATAAGAGCTCTATTATATAGGCTTGATTGATTAAGTCATTGGCTATGGTAATTAGGTCAATCTCCATTCACCCTCTCCCCTTCCTGGAGGTCAGGAGTGGGGATGAAAGTTTCAACCCTCTAACCACATGTTCAGTTCTCCTTAGCAACCAGTCAGCCATCTTTAGGGGCTTTCCAAAAGTCACCTCATTAGCACAAATTCAGATGTTGAAAGGGACTTTTTAACAAAAGATGCTCTTTGCACCATTGTCATTTAGGATATTTCAAGGATTTTAGGAGATCTCTGGTTAGGAGCGGAAGAAAAGACCAAAACATATGTTTCTTATGATGGCACAACATCACACTTGGTGATGGCAGAAGAAGGGATTGATTTAAATGTGGAGGATGTTGTTCATGAGTGGAAATATTCAAAGAGCAAGGCAATCAGTCATATAGAGACTCACAGAGAAGAGGTGGTGCAGATATGCAGAATAGAATGTCAATACTTAGAAAAAGAAGAAGGAAGTGAACTAAAAGACAGAGGAGAGAGAAGTAAAGGAGAACAATAAAAACAACCCTAGTATTAACAGCTCACTTCGATTGAACGTCTACCCTGTGGCAGTTGCATTTTTTTTTTAAAGCTGAATTTATTGAGAGGACAGAAAAGCTCCCGCAGTGGGAGGGGACGCAAAGGGGTTGCCAACAGTTGCATATTTAGAACTCATGGCTGCCACTGGAGATTAGTATTACTTATGTGCCCATTTTGCAGATAAGGAAACTGAAATCTGAAAAGACCATATGTGGAATTTGCCTAAGGTCAGATGAGCAAGGATAAACCCAGGCATTCTAACCCAGAACCTGAATTACTAGCCCTGTAATGCCACCCAGGGGATAGAATGAAAAAGGCAGAAACACAAAACAAAAATGGGGAAATATATGCAGAAAGAAAACTAGAGACAAAAACGAATGCAAGAGTTGGAGGAAGCAAAGGCAAGTCAGACATTGAATCCTCATGGAGAGGTCAACAAGAAGGACTGAACAGATGTGTATAGGGATAGTGTGGTATAAAGAGAGGTGGTGCTGAGGCACCCAGGACTTTGTAGGAACTGAGCTAAGGCCACTGGACAGGGCAGCTCTGAGGACAAAGGAAGGTTCACTTTGGCTGGGAATGTCAAGACAAACCTTTGTTAGTTTCCAAGGCACCTTCCTGGAAGAACTCAGCCAGGTGGCCTGGGCAGGGCCCTCTTAGCCAGTCCCCCATTCTTGGCTAGAGTCTGGCTTCAAGAATCAGGAGGGATCTGCCAGCTCCAGATGGGCTTTGTGCTCAGACCTAGGGGAGTCTTCAACTCCTACATCATAAAGACTAAAAAGAGACTAGGGAAGAATGACAAACTCTATTTCAATTTCTGAAATAAACTTCTAATTTCTTCTCCCCCAGGACCTGGTGAAAACCCTTTTTCAAGTCTGACCTGGTTACGCTCCAATTCCTCACTTGACATTGGTTTGTTCCTGTTGACTTTTTGGTGATGTTTTGCTGCTGTCTTATTCCCTTCTGGAATGTGCTGTGGGGGCTACCTCTTTGAGTTAATGATTGCCCAGAATTTTCAGTCTTTGCATCTGCAGTTTTCCCAGTTCAGGATTTAAATAGGAGATCTTTGTCCTCTGAATTGCCTAGAAGGGTTTCTTCTTTTCATGCCCCTTCAGCATACTTGCTGCCAGTTCCTCTTGGCTCTGGACTGGGACGATTTACCCATGTGCCTGGCTTCCCAGTTTTCTGCCTGTGCCTGCTTGAATCTAGCTACTGCATTGGTGCCTTGATCTTACATCCAGCGGTGGCCTGTGCTGTGGTGGTTGGAGGGGAGTGATGAGCAGCAGGGGACAAATAAAATACCTGTGAATCAAAATGTGGTTCAGGTACACCCTCACGTGAAAATGGAGTCTCAGAGCAACTCTATGAAAAAGAAGAGTTAAATGCAAAGAGAGAAGACACAACCAGTGACAAAAATGATGCACTAGGAAGCCAACAGGCAAATACACAATGTGTCCAAGGGTCTGTGCCAACAGGTAAGTGATTGATTGGGTTTACATGAGTGTGGAAGGGCTGAGGGGCCCTGGTGGCAGAGAAATGGATGAATGAATGATGCAAGGAGACACCTATTTAACAAAGAAGGGGAAAGACACAGAGAGGACAGGAATTTGATAATCATATACTGATGAGAGCGATTTCTTGAGGATGAAAGATAGAAAGCAAAAACTGACAGACAAGAAGAAAGGGCTGCAGGGCCTCATAGGGAAAAGAGACAGACTCAGAAGGCAAAAGGACATGTTAGAGATTGGCCATGGAAACAATAAGGCAGAAACACCCTCATGGGGTGGAGGCAGCAATATGCAGATGGAGCTATAAGTAGAAACATGAGAAGGGAAGAAGGGAAGAGAAGCTGGGTGAGGTGTGACAAAATGGAAATAAGGCAGAGGAATGCCCTGTTGGATCTCAGCTATAATCTTTTTTGTCTTCAGAGTCCTGCGAACAAGTAGCTGTCCAAGTGAATAATGGAAGTGCAAGAAAGGAGATGCCCAGCCCAAGAACGGAGACGGCTAGCCCATTGCCCTGCAATGAAGAAAGTAATTAATTCTTATCTTACCAATTTTCTTTTTTTTTCAGATACTCTATATTTGTTTGTTTCATTATCTTAATCACTTCTTACATTGACAAATAAATTATAGATATTTATTATGTATGGCATGTTGTTTTGAAATATGTATACATTGTGTACATTGTGAAAAGGCTAAATTGAGCCAATTAATACATACATTACTTACTTATCATTACATGTGGTAAGAGCACTTAAATTCTATTTTCTTCGCATTTTTCAAAAATGCAATGCATTATTAACTCTAGTCACCTTGTTGTATAATACATCTCTTTAATGCATTCCTTATCCTACTGAAATTTTGTGTCCTTTGACCAACTTCTCCTTAATCACCTTCTTCCCATTCCCAGACCCTGTTACCACTATATACTCCCCAGTTTTATGACTTCAATTTTTTGCATTCTATATATATGTGAGATATGCTATATTTGTCTTGCTGTGCCTGGCTTATTTCATGTCACATAATGTTCTCCACATTCATCCATTGTCACAAATGACAAGATTTCCTTCTTTTTAATGATGAATAGTATTCCACTGTGTGTGTGTGTGTGTGTGTGTGTGTGTGTGTGTGTGTGTACATAACACATTTTCTTTATTGATTCATTTGTTGATGGATACTTAGATTGATTCCATATCTTGACTATTGTGATTAATGATGCAATGAACATGGAAGTGCAGACATCTCCCATACATGCAGGTGGTACCCAAATTATGATGATTCAACTTAAGATTTTTCAACTTTACAATTGGTTTATCAAAGTATTAAATATATTTTGGCTTATGATTTTTTTTTATTTATAATGGGTTTATGGGGCATAGCCCCATCGTAAGTCTAGGAGCATCTGTACTGATTTCATATCCTTTGACAATATATCCAGTAGGAGGATTGCTGGATCATATGGTAGTTCTATTTATAGTTTTTTAAAGAAACTCCATTCTGTTTTCTATAATAGCTATACTAATTTACACTCCCACCAACAGTGTACAAGGGCTCATTCTTTTCCACATCCTTACCAATATTTGTAGCCTTTAGTTTTGACAATAGCTAGTCTAAAAGATGTGAAATATTATGTAATTGTAGCTTTAATTTACATTTTTTCATAATTAGTGATGCTGAGCACTTTTTCATATACCTGTTGTCCATTTGTATGTGTTCTTTAGAGAAATATATGTCCAGATCCTTTGTCCATTTTTAAAATGGTATATTTGGTTTTTGTTTTTACTATTGAGTTATTTATATATTTTGAATGCTAACCCCTTATCAGATGTATTGTTTGCAAATATTTCCACCCATTTTGTTGGTTGTCTCTTCACTCTGTTGATTCTTCTCTTGCCTTTGCAGAAGGTTTTTAGTTTGATACAGTCCCATTTGCTTTACTTTTGTTGTGTTTTGGGTATTACATCCAAAAAAAAAATCATAGCTCAGACCAATGTTATAGAGCTTTTTCCCTATGTTTTCTTCTAGTAGTTTTATAATCTCAAGTCTTACATTTAAGTCTTTAATCCATTTTGTGCTGATTTTTAATCTGTGTGAGGTAAGAGTTTAATTTCATTCTTTTGCAGATAGATATTCAGTTATTCCAACACCATTTATTAAAGAGACTGTCCTTTCTCCATTGCATGTTTTTGCGCCTTTGTTGAAAGTTGGCCATAAATGCATAGATGCAGGCTTTCTATTTTGTTCCATTTGTCTGTGTGTCTGTTTCTTTGCCAGTACCATGCTATTTTGATTACTATAGCTTTGTAGTATATTTTTAAGTCAGGTAATGTGATGCTTTCAGCTTTATTCTTTTTGCTTAAAATTGCTTTGGCTATTTGAGGTCTTTTATGCTTCTATACAACTTTTAGAATTTTAAAAATCTATTTCTGTGAAAAATGCTATCGAAATTTTAATAGGAATCGCACTGGATCTATAGAGCACTTTTGATAGTATGAACACTTTAATATTTATTCTTTCAATTAATGAACATAAGGTATCTTTCCGTTTCTTTGTTCCTCTTCATTTTATCTCATTTATGTCTTAGACTTTTCAGTGTACAAATATTTTGCCTCCTTGGTTCAAACTATTCTTAATTATTCTTCCTTTTCAGTTTGGATGACTTTTATTTATTTTTCTTGCCTAATTACTCTGATGAGGACTAGTAATACTATCTTGCATAGAAGTGATGAGAGAAGGCATCCTGATCTTGTTCCTGACATTAGACATTAAACTTTTCACCATTGAGTATAATGGTAGCTGTGGGCTTGTCATGTATGCCCTTTATTGTTTGAGGTACATTTCTTGCATACCTATGTTTACCATCCTTGCATCCAGGGGAAAATCTTAGTTCCACCTTGCATCCAGGGGAAAATCTCACTTGATAATAGTGAATATGCTTTAAATATGCTGTTGAATTTGATTGGCTTGTATTTTGATGAAGATTTTTCATCTATGTTTATTAGGGGCATAGCCTGTAGTTTTCTTTTCTTATGTATTTGTCTGGCTTTAGTATCAGACAATACTGGCCTCATAAAATGAGATTGGAAGTATTCCTTCTTCTTCAATTTTTTAGAAGAGTTTGAGAAGCATTGATATTAGTCCTTTAAATGTTTAGTAGAATTCAGCAGTGAAGTCATCTTGTCCTGGGCTTTGCTTTGATGAGAAGTATTTGAATATGGATTAAATCCTATTGGTTTAAATCTTATTGGTTTAAATGTTATTGGTTTAAATGTCATTGGTCTGTTCAGATTTTCTATTCTTCATGATTTTCAGTTTTGGTAACTTGTATGTTTCTAAAATTTTGTTAATTTCCTTTAAGTTATTTTTGGCATATAATTGTTCATAGTAGTCTATTATAATCCTTGTATTTCTATGGTATGAATTGTAGGGTCTTCTCTTTCACTTCTATTTTTATTTGAGTATTCTCTCTTATTTCTAAGTTCATCAGATAAAAGTTCATAAGTTTTGTTTGTCTTTTAAAAACGCCTCTTTGTTTTGTTAATTGTTCTATATGTTTTTCTAGTCTCTTTCTCATTTATTTCTGGTCTTATGTTTATTATTTCCTTCTTTCTGCTAATTTTGGGCTTAAGTTTTTCTTTTTTTCTAGTTTCTTGAGGTGTAGCATTAAATATGTTGTTGAATTTGATTGGCTTGTATTTTGATTAAGATTTTTCATCTATGTTTATCAGGGACATTAGCCTGTAGTTTTCTTTTCTACAAAAGGTCTTTCTTTGAGATCTTTCTTCTTTCTTGATATAGATGTTTATTGCTATAAACTTCCCCTCTTAGAACTGTTTTTGATGCATCTCATAAGTTTTGGTGTGTTGTGTTTCTATTTTTGTGTGTATCAGGATATATTTACATTTCTCTTTCAGTTTCTTCATTGGCCCATTGGTTTTTCAGGAGCACATTATCTAATTTCCATGTGTTTATGAATTCTCCATAATTCCTCATATTATTGATTTCTAGTTTCATATTATTATGGTCAGAAAAGATATTGTTGTTGTTTTATTTTATTTTTATTTTAAAGATGTGTGGTACAGTTCAGTTAGGTAAGTGGTCATCATACAGGTAAAGTTTGGGCCTCCCCTTGGTGCCCACTTCACCTGGCTTGAGATTGGGTGACCTTATTGATGGTATGTGTCCCCCTCCTCCCCGGGTAGTGTCTCATTACTGCCGGTCCCTTGCTTTTAGTATTATGATAAATGTTCAGGGTCCACTTATGAGTGAGTACATGTAGTACTCAGATCATTGTTTCTGTGGTACATCACTGAGTATTATAGACTCTAAATCCATTCAAGTGACTGTGAAGTTCATAATTTTGTTTTTCTTTATGGCTGAGTAATATTTCATCATGTATATGTACTACATTTTCTTTGTCTAGCACATTTTTGATGGGCAGCATGGTTGGCTCCATGATCTGTGATGGAGAATTAAAAGCCTTCCCAGACATTCATTCCCTAGGAGTTTGTGCTGCCTCCAGATCAGAAAAGATATTTAATATAATTTCAAGTGTCTTGACTTTGTTAAAATTTGCTTTGTAGCCTAATGTGATCTGTCTTGGAGAATGTTACATGTACAATAGAGAAGAATGTGAATTATTCTGTTGTTGGATGGAATGTTCTGTATATGCCTGTTAAGCCCATTTGGTCTAACGTATAGTTTAAGTCCTATGTTTCCTTGTTGATTTCCTGTGTAGATGACTGATATATCCATTGCCTAAAGTAAAATGTTGGGATTACAGGTGTGAGCCATCATGCCCAGCCTTTCCTTCATTTCTAAAGGACAGACAGACTTTCCAAGTTCAATAACCTTGGTTGGCAGTTTTTTCTTCAGCATTTTGAATATATCATCCCACTCTCTGCTGATCTGTAAGATTTCTGCTGAGAAATCCACTGCTAGCCTCATTGGAACTCTCTTATGTGTTATTTGCTTCTTTTTTCTTGATGCTTTCAGGATCCTCTCTTTATCCTTGATTCTTGACTGTTTGATAATAGTAGGTCTTGAATTGGGTTGAATCTGATTGGAGATTTTTGGTCTCCATTTATCTAAAAATTTATGTCTTTCCCCAGTTTTGGAAAGTTTTTTGATATTATTTCTTTAAATAGGCTTTCTACCCTTTTGTCTTCCTCTTTTCCTTTATGAATATCTGTGCCTCAAATACTTGCTCTTTTGATGTGTCTCATAAATCTTTTAATCTTTATTTAATCCTTCCTTTTCTTTTTATTCTATGACTGTATGTTTTTAAATAACTTGTCTTTGAGTTCACAGATTGTTTCTTCTGCATCATAAATGATGCTATTGATGTTCTTTATTGCATTTTTATTTCATTTATTGTTCTTTCAGCTCTAGAATTTATTTACTTTCTTAAATAATTTCAATCTCTTTGTTAAATTTCTCATTTTGGTAATGTATTGTCTTTCTAATTTCATTGAATTGTTTCTCTGTCTTTTCTTAAAGTATGTTGAGCGTCTTTAAAAAAATTATTTTAAATTTGTCAGGGAGCTTGTTATCTCCTTTGATTTGGGCTCAGCTACTGGGAAATTACTGTTTTTGGTGATGTTGTGTCTCTTTGGTTTTAATGTTCCTTGTTGCTTAACATTTATTTCATTTGATGAAGTAGAGAGTTATTCTAGTCTTTGTAGATGCTTTGTCTGGGAAAGCCCATCCAGATATTTTGGGCAGGCCATCTGGCACGATCCAAAGCCAGGCATACTGCTGGAGTCCTCGACTGTCTGGCCTGGTGCCTAGGACAACCAATGGATAGGTCTCTGCTGAGTCAAGCCTCGTGCCAAAGTCTGGAGAGTTTTGCAGTGCTGACACAGGCCTCTTTAGGCACTGAGTTGGACCTGAAGCCCCGTGCATCTAGGGCTAGCCTGATGCTGGGATGGTCCTAAAGCCCAGTGCTTCTGGGGCCAGTCTGATGTGGAACCAGAGGCCACTGAGGCTGTACTGGTGCTGAGGCAAGTTGGAGACAGAATTCTCAAGACAGACTTGGAGGCTGAGCTGCAGGATTCAGCCTGAGGCCAGGGTGGACTTGAAGATTCTGATGCGGTTATTAACCTGGAGTTTGGGGCCATGAAGAGTTGTTTGGCACTAGGTTTTACTGGGAGGTTAGCACTGTGTTTGGATCCAAGGCAAAGTCTGGTGCTCACTTCCTTCTCTTTCTCCAAAGCATAGAGTATCTCTCTCAGTGCTGTGCTGCCTCCGTTAGGGGGGTAGTGAGATAGATAATATAAAACTATCCTTCTTGCCCTTTTCAGTGTGTTATTTCTTTTTCTTTTTCTTTTTTTTTTTTTTTTGCCACATCCAGGTGCTGTGATCTCTCATTGGGCTTTCTCAGCTCTTGTGAAGATATTTTCATGAACAGATAGCTGATCACATTGATAATTCTGCATGACAGCAAGCAATGGAGAGTCCCATTCTGCCATCTTGCTCCTCTCCTCCCCAATTTTTAAATTATATCTTTGTTTTGTCTGTGAAAACAAAAACTTTTATTTGTCTTTCTTTACTAACTGCCTACTGCTACCAAGATGCACAGCCTTTGTGCACAGCCTCTAGTTTCTCAAATATGTGATGCAAAAGAGGAAGGGAGCTGCTTTATTTAATGGAAGAGATGGCCCAGGGTAGAGAATACAAGAATAGAGAATACAAAAATGGTCCACAAGGGCACACGGAATAACAAAGCACAATTGACCCTTGGGCAATGCAGGGGTTAGGGGTACCGACACCCATGCAGTAGAAAATCTGCACATAACTTTTAACTCCCCCAAAACTTAACTTCTAGCCTGTTGTTGACTGGAAGCCTTATTAAAATAAACAGCTACATGTTTTATTGTTATATGTAGTATGTAATTTATGATTAAAATATCATATGCTAGTAAAATAATTATTAAGAAAATCATAAGGAAGAGAAAATATACTTACTATTCATTAAGTGGAAGCAAATCATAGTAAAGGTCTTTACCTTCTTCATCTTCACATTGAGTAGGCTGAGTAGGAGGAAGAGGCGGGGTTGATCTTGCTTCTCAGAGGTGGCAGAGGCGAAATAAAAATCCATGAATAAGTGACCTGTGCAGTTCAAATCCATGATTTCAAGAGTCAACTGTACAAGAGTAAGACATATTTTAGATTAATAGACATGGCACCCAAACATTGCCATGTTGGGGCATTGGTGAAAAAAAATTGCAACTTATTTTTCAGAAGTTATAATGGGACTGTGGAAATTATGCCTGATGCTGCCTATCCAATTTGCAAGGAAGCCCAGGTGAAGGGCCTTTAGGAAGGGACTGCAGGTGAAAGGCTTTGGTGTGGTGGACAGTGGTGCTTTGGTGATGACTGAATATTTGAGATGAGGAAACTACAGAAAGTCAAAAAGTGATATAGAAGAGACATGCAGAGGTCACATTTAGTAATTAAGAAACAGAGGCAGACTTGCAGCAGGTAAGAAAAATAACAGAGGTGGATTAACAGAAACATCAGGGAGGGGACAGCAGGGCTGGCACTAGGTGAGGTAGAGAGGCTCCCGGGGCACAGTATGTAAAGAGGATCTCACTCTCAGTGCCTGAGACTGAGTTCTTCCCTAAATTTTAAGGCATCAAAAGGCACCCTTTTGCCTCATCCTAGTCATGACCTTGAGAGATGGTGACTTTTAAACAGTGTAGAAAAAAGAATATGAATAGAGAAAGATACAGAGAAAAATGAATGCCAAGAAACAGGAAAAAAAATGGGAGAAGGCACAAAGAGAAGAATGTATAAAATGGGTTAAAAGACAATGAATGAAAACTTGGTAGAGATTGGGCTATGTAAAGAGAGGACGAGAGAAGACAAATCAAGGTATTGTCTGATTTGAAGAGATAGTCACCAGAAAGAAGGTACAGGGTTGTTCCTATTACCAATGAAAAAAGGTAATGTGTCCCCCTATCAAATGACCTCTGTGACTTTTATTTAAAACCCTGAAAGATATCTCTCCTTGGAGACCTTATCAGTTATCTATTGCTGTATTGTTTAACAAGCCATTCTAAAAACTTAGTGACTTAAAATGATCATCATTTTATTTGCCACTAAAATCAATTCCAACTTTAAAATATCTCCAATCTGTCTAGTTCTCTCCCTCCCTAGCATGATCTCCCTAATCCAGATTCTTATCATTCTCACTAAAATGAAAGGAACTATCCCCTGTCTGGCCTCATTCCTTCAGTCTTGCTCCCCTTAAGTCCATTCTCTGTAGTTTAGCTAAATAAACTTTTCAAAAATGGAAACCAGTTCATATGAATTTTCGATTTCAGGCTCAATTCCTTGTGGTCCTAGCATTAGGTCAAGGCTGCTTGATGTGGTACTGTGAAAGATGCCTACCATATAGCCACGTATTTCCCATCACTTGCCTCTCACTCCCTCATGCCACATTCCCACCACACCAAACTTCCTTTTGTTAATTGAATTTGCCAAGCTTTCTTTGTTTCATCTCTGCCTTTACATCCACTTTTGGAAAACAGTTTGATATAATCTTCCAAAGTTGAAAATATGCATACCCTAGAACTCAGTGATTGTATTCATTGTAATTCATTCATGATGTGTATTGTGTTCACCAAAACACATAAAAAGGAATGCTCATAGTAGCATTACTTCTAAAAGGCAAACACTTGAAACAGCATGAATGGATAAATACTGCATAACTTATTTCTATAATAGAATACTATTCAGGAGTGAAAATAATTATAAAAAATGAATATGGATGACTTTTACAAGTGTGTTGAGTAAAATATGCATATAATTTTGGGAGAATTTGGCTTCTTTTAAGGCAAGTGATATATATATATAGAGGGAGAGAGAGAGAGAAGAGCATTCTTCCATTTATATAGATTACATAACGTGCTAAGTTAATTTAGGTGTTGGAAGCCAAGATGGTAGTTAACCTTGAGCAAGTTGGTAGGAATATTAGTGGGTGATATCACTAGGAGGTTTCTGAGGTGTTGGTAATCTTCTGTTTCTTGATCAAAGTGATATACTTTCTTTGTGATCATTCACAACCCACTTTTACTACAAGTGGGACCCCCCCAAAAAATGGAATTATCTTTTAGAGGGCGGGCTTCTGGTGGTACGGGCTTCCCCTGCTAGGTAAATATTCTAGGAACCCATCATCATTAGTGTTGTGAGAGGCTGTGTTCAACTTCAGTGAATTTTGCTTGTTTGTTTGTTTGTTTTTGAGATTCAACACATTTCCCACTTCGTGATGGGCGATTTACAGGACCAACTTACCCATACTGCTGAATGTTCAGCAGTTTTTGACCAAAACCAGCATGACCCGCATGCCCCATCCTCCCTAGTCACCCAATCTCACCCCAATGGATTTTTATTTGTTTCCCCGGGATGAAAAAAGTCCTCAAAGGAAAACATTTTGCTTTGTGGAAGAAGTGAAACAAAAAATGGCAAAAGTAGTAAAAGGCATTGAAATTGGCAAGTTCAAAAACTGTTTTGAGCAGTGGAAAAAGAGTCTCAATAGGTATATTGCATCAGAGAGGATTTTGAAGGTGACTGAAATTTAAATATGTAAGAATAGCCTGAGCCCTTCGGATTCGAGACCCGCCTGGGCACCTTGGTGAGACCTCATCTCTACAATAAATCAAAAATTAGCTGGGCGTGGTAGTGCGCGCCTGTA